CGAAGGACTGCCGCGAGACCGTCGCAGGTAGCGGCTGGACCCTTCAGCAGAGTCCTGCACGGGTCTGATTTTCAAGACCCGCTCCCGCCCCGCACCCGCGACGTGCAATACCGAACCCGCCCCGCTACCCGCACATATTGCCAATTAGTTCCGCAACCCGACCCGACCCGCCGGCACAAGATCCGCAACCCGACCCGAACCCGTATATATATAAGCAGTGAAAACGTGCAATTATTAACACACGCAGTTGCATATTTGGCTCAAAAAGCCTGGGATGTTGGTTATTCTCGCCATCTAGGATGACACCAAAAGCCTCCCAGACGTTGGATTTCGCTCTTGAGGAAGAGTTATTGAAAATGCTGTATTCTCCGCTAGAGAGCTTCACCTCAGCCATTCAGAATGTGGCGCGCTCAGCAGCAGATAGATGCGCTGCAGAGGTTATGATTATGCTCGGTCCCACGGGGGAGAGGTCTGAGGATTTAAACATTAAACTAAATTATTATTATTTAAATATATTTAGTATGCAACACCCGCAACCCGACCCGCATCATCTTTGTTTTACCCAGAACCGAACCCGGAAAAAAGCGTTTGAAAAAATACCACCCGCAAATCACCTTTTTTGCGGGTCACCCGTCGGGTACCCGCGGATACCCGACCCGATGCAGGACTCTGCCTTAACTTACTGCTGAAAAAACAAGGGACCATTTTTTTTCTGTGGTATCAGCATAACATTTAAGTAATAGCAGGAACTACTCTGCTGGTATACAGGCAGCTGATGCATGATGGGTACAGAAAATGCATTAAACAATTACCAGAGGTCTGCAGTACATCTATTGAATCTCATTATTCTTCTCTGCTCTCCAGAACCATGCGATGCGGGGGAAGGGCAAAGTGACTAACAAGCTCTCCTCTGCTTTCTCCTGTTTGCATCCAACATGTTTCCTCACACAGTCTAAACCCCTTTCTCTTAATTTCCGATATATGATATAGTGTAGTCTATGTATTTAGCTTTCTACTCATCCAACCTGTGATACACTTGTTTTTTCTCTGTACCCATTGCACTTGCTCTCCGTTGATAGATTGTCTTGAATTGTCATCCTTTATTTCTTTGCTCTGTTCTTTTGAATCTTTAATAGAGATATGCGAGGCGGAGGCGGTCTGGCCATCTAGACAGAGATTTTATTTTTCGATCTCTGATGTCAGTAATTGCTATCAGCCTGTGGCATGAGTGCTTGGGCCTTGCAGATCTACTGAGCATGACACTCACAGTCAGACTAGGCCAACCTAATACTTTCAATATTAAGGGGTTTTACGAGTGGCCCTTACAAATTTGGACTGATCCCTCAAATGTTCATTGCCTCAGTCAAAAAACATTAAGTAGCTGAATGTGCATGAATGTGTAAGTATAACACTCACATGTTGGTACAGAATGTAGCAGCAGTTGGCATTACACTGTGACTTATTGTTCACCTAGCTCACCAAGGCATGTCTGGCGGGTCTCGTGTTGATTCAGTGTAGTGGTGACGTGTTAATACAAACTGAGGAGGAAGGTGTCAGCAAAACATCCTAAAGTGTCTCCAAGGTCTTTGGCATCATCGGCTTCTATTTATATCACAAAAACTGTGTAAGTGTTAATATTGTCGGCATGTGAGCTTTGGGCACTTGTATAAAAAGCCTCTCAGTCCCAGTATGACTCTGGTGGGAGGTATTGGGAGTTGAATATACTGTATAATGGCGGTTAAAACAAACACTCTTCAAAAAGGAACAAGCTAAAAGCCTCACACTCAATCACAGACACACACATTTCTGGCTCAAAGTTAATTCTGCTACTTATTATGGCATTTTTACAGCATCTGAAGATAATGTGTTTATTTTATTCTACCAAAAGTTCAGTTTTGGGTAAGAATGCTAATTTCTTTAAAGAGCTGATCTGTAAGCTTTAACTGGAACCAGCCGTTCAATGGAAAATAGATGAGACAGGGAGTTTCCATGTGATGGTTGAATGAATCTGTTAAAAGTTTAGGTTTAAACTTCCAACAGCTTTGTCTGTAGACTTATTTAGGTCAAAACAAGAAGCCTGTGTTTGCTAATGTCTTAATGTGAGCTTCAAATACTCATTTTCTTTAGAAAGCTCCTGTACAAACAAATGAAGAACGTGCTTTTCCTCAGGAATGAGACACATACGTGTTAAGAACAACAAATGGACTGTGTTCATGAACTGACTAGGTGTTCATGAATCTATAGGTTCCCCATGTAAACAATGTTTAAATAAACGTATTGATTAATCGTCACATCATCCCTGTTGTTGTACTTGTTATTGCACTGTGCTTGCTCAAACTGACCCAGGTAATGGCCTTTAAGTGGTCTATCTGAAGATTAGATTTCAGAGAGAGATAGAACCGACAAGGCTGCATGAGCTTTGCAACGTAGATCTTCAAACTTCTGTCTTCTAAACTTCACAGGAGAGAACAAGGATGATCTGAGAAATACTTCACAGAAATCCAACCCTGAACCCAACAGAGTGTTAAGAGTTTTATCAGTCAATGCATTAGCTCATCAAAGCCCTCGCAGTGATCTCGTCCTTGACCTGGCTCTCCTTGCTGATGCGTGCTGCTGACTGAGGCTTCATGAGTGCTGATGCAGTTTACGTGTGAGTGAGAGAGGTGCAGCAGAGTATGCAGATGTCCTTGTTAAAGCAATGTTTCACTTTTACAGCACATTTCATTTTGTATTACACAACTCCTCCATTTAACAATCAATCACGAAATCATGTCTAAACAAATAACCAGGAAACCCACACCCATTCCAGTCATTGAGAAATAATGACCGTTATTTTACAGTTGTCATGCTGATCCGTGGTTAACTGTATTCAGGGCATGGCTTTTCAAGAAGAAATAAAGAACAGATAGTATAAGCACTATTCATTCCATACAATTACAACCAGAAATGTGCCAAAAGACGTTTTTAAGGGAGTCATTTTCCACTGTGAGTAAAGTGGCGATTAATTATCCTTGAAATACAAGCTCATATAAATTATAGAAGAACTTGAGGGTGGTTTCACAACGACAGACTTTGAGTAGGGCCTATATCAAACTAATTTTGTATGTTTTATTTTTTGTCCTTGTATGTTTCTTTGTAAAGCGACCTTGAGGTTATGAAAGGCGCTATTTAAATTCAAGTTATTANCTTACCAATAATGCGACCAAAGGCACGGAACGTCAAGGATTAGGGCAGATTGTGGTCACCAAAAAAACATGTGGTTGTCCTATTCACATGCAGCTTCCTTATGCACTAAGTCACATGGTACATATTTTACACATTACGACTACCGCCAGCAGGGGGAGACAAATCCAGCAAATGAACAACAATGTCCACATCAGGACAGAACACTGTATATTCCATGGAATGCTCTGAACATCCCGATAGCAATGAATATCTTTAAAAGAACATGTCATCTGTGGAAGCCGTAGTACTGTAAAAATCATGACCAATCATCTGAGCCGGCCCGGCTAAAATAACTGGATGGCCTACCTGCCTGTCAGCCTTCCATCTGTGGGCAAACTTATCTCGTGCCCTCATTGGTCATGTGCGCGTTCGTGTGTGTTGGAGGAGGGGCTCTGTAAGGAAGTCTGAAGGAAGTGGCAGATTTTTTCCGGCTGTGTATTTTCAAATTCTAGCGCACTCAAGCTGGTTTCTCCAAAATTACCTACCCTACCTTTAAAAGATATAAAAAAAGATTATATATTTTTAATACAAATTGTAAACATAAACACATAGTGTGAAATGGAACGAAACCACGGCAGACTATTCAAAACTGGAATCGAACGCCCCCCCAGAACTACATATGCTGGATATTGTGTTTCGCAAGTTCGCAGCATGTTCTCTATGGCACGTCTCTACTGGGAATTGTAGTTTGCGAAACACAATATCCAGCATATGTAGTTCTGGGGGGGCGTTCGATTCCANAACAACATTACGGAGAAAACTTAATATCTTCTACATATAAAGACGGATAAAGTAAAGAACAAAGTCTGAAAATATCAGTACAGTATCATAGTACTTTAACATAATCGTTTGTGTTACTTTCGTTGCAGTTGTATGTCTTAAATGTAATGTAAATGTTGCCTTCGTGTGTGGTTCGGGGCCATCTTCGTGCGAAATTCACAAATCCATATTCGTGTGTCCATCGGGTGTCAATTTCGGGACAGTGTGACAGGGGTTATAAGGAGAATTAAAAATAATACACAGGCCTACTTTAAAATAAATGTAACACAGCACTTGGGGAGTCCTCTGCACATTTGAAGGAAAACAAATATAATTAAAATGGGCCCACTTTGAAATAAATAAAACATATAGATGCACCCTAAAAAGAGTTAAAGGTATAGGTAAGAATGGAGAAACCAGCTAGAGTGCGCTAGAATTTGAAAATACACAACCGGAAAAAATCTGTCTCTTCCTTCAGACTTCCTTACAGAACCCCTCCTCTAACACACACGTATGCGCACATGACCAATGAGGGCACGAGATAAGTTTGTGCACAGATGGAAGGCTGACAGGCAGGTAGGCCATCCAGTTATTTTAGCCGGGCCGGCTCAGATGATTGGTCGTGCTTTT